CGTGCGGAGCCGGGACGCGGCGGCGGTTGCCCCCTTGCAGCTTCCTGCCTGGCTGGGTGGCGTTTGTCTGTGCCGTTTTTGGTACGCTTCTTGTGTCGTTCTTAACCGAGGTGCTCCCGCAAAACAAAGCGGTGCCGAGACGATCCGTCTCGGTGCGGTTTCGTGTTGTCTGAAGTCTTAAAAGACAGGCGTTTTGGCTGATGTAGTCCCTGGGCAAGGTTTCTGTTAAAATCTTTAAAGCTGTACTGAGAATACTGAAATAATTACACTCAAAACAAAACAAAACAAAACCAGAAAGCATTTGAAGCATGAATGTTACACAGAACTCCGATTTTAACAGTGTTTCAACATGCCCTATCTTTAAGAGTTTTAGAAGAGCAAAAGCCTTTGGCAGTGTTAACTCGTCAAGCCAGATACAGCAAAGGGGGTGTCCCTCTTTTGACTGGAGTTTTTGTAGTGATTGGCCTGCTGTGAGCAACAAGAAGTTCAAGTGGGATGGGGTAATATTCCCTTTGCTAGTTTCTCATTTTTCTTTGTTGAGGACCAGTTTGCACTTGCTTTTGAGCGTGCTGCAAGGATGACCAGCGCAGTGCACAGCTCTCTCCTCGCGTACTCAGAGGGCAAATTTGTGCAGGTAGTAGGCAATGTAGCAAGCTGTCCTGATGACAGATTTTCCAAGTGTGAAACAGCCTTGCCTCATCATCATTTTCTTCAGTAACGAGGGGTAGTTTCCAAAACTCTTCCCATTTATGTCACATACCTTTTGCTTACTAGCATCATCTTGGGACAGACCCTGAGGCCTTTTCTCAGATCAGCTTTGCATATTCAGCTTTTACTGACTAAATAACAACTTCCTGCAACAAACTGGTTTGCAGTTCTGTTACTTAGGCAACTGATGCACAACAGCAGTGTCATGAAGTTAATCAAGTCCGGTGAGTCAAAATTACTCAAGGTGCTGGGGTTGTGTTCAGGTCTACATACAGTATTAGGCCTTTATTTTTCATGTATCGTGTAACTGCTTCTAGAAATGTATTTTTAGTCGAAAGCAAGACTAAAAACATACTTGATTGCTTTCCAAAGTCAGAAATGTTTGGTTTGGTTTTTAATCTGAAGATATAGGGTAGTGGGAACAAAGAGTACAGAAATGTCATACCAAAGGAAGCATTTAAGAACTTGAAAGTGCATACAATTCACTGGGTCAGAATGATGATTTTAAAAGCTGCGTTTTCTAAGCCTCTAATTTTATCATAGCTTTATATATAGGATAAAAGCTTTTATGCCCATAGAAGATACAGTTAGAAGCCAGTATTCAATAAGAGCCAGGAACAGCAAGGATTTCAGTGGCCAAGACTGAGTTTTGCCTTCTAATTACATACGCGCCCTTCCCAGCTCCACCCTGCCTGTGCAACAGTGAAGTTGACCATATCTAAAGCTCTAAGTACTATATCTAGAATGCCAAAGATGCTTTTGCAAATCTCCTGTAATTGGACAGGCTCATGGTTTGTTAAGGCACTGAATTTGTGTAAATTACACACTGGCCTATGTTAGAGACACAACAGAAATCTGCTGTCCCAGAAAGAGCTATGGAAGGCCTTGTGCCCCTGGCAGGCACACGTTGCTGAGTACATGCAATACCTAGCTTTAGGTTGCTTGTATATTCAGAGTTTAAGCAGCTATTGTCTCACACTGTGGTTTCACAATATGACATCTTGTGTTTTCACTGCAGATCATTAGGTTGTACAATGAGTCAGGTCAACCTTTTAAACAGTCTGATGACTTTTTTTCTGGATTTTCAGTTCCATGACTGACTGCAAGCAACAGCTACTGCCAAAACAAAGAAAGAAACAAGGAACTCGAAGTGGAAGGGCAGGACCATTTTATTCCTTTAATATCAATACAACAACCTGGAACGCTGTCCTGTTTCTGCTTCTGGTGGCCTGGAGTCCAAGCGCGGTATCTAATGCAGTGTATATGTTTATTTTTAAAAGTTAAAGTACCTGAAAGATTGTAGGTCTAAGTAATGACATCACCAGGAATTACTAGCAGTGATTATACTTAGGATAGCAACAAAACATAAGCAAAAAATAATCTTCAACCACGTATGCTAAAGGAAAACAGATAGTTGGTGGCTCTTATAAGGTCTTACTCTCTATTAATGGGCATTTTAAAAAGCATGGAAGTAATTTAGTAGCTGTCATATTTTCAAAAATTATTTAAGCACAGATAATTGGTGGAATTTGGGAGCCAGATTTTAAAGATACCTCAGCACCCATCAGTGTCTCTGATAGGCACCCTATGATCTGTTCAAAAAATTGCAGCATATGTTCCAAGATTCTGACCTTTTGGAAGTCCTGTCAGAGGACTGTCTACATCTTTAGGCACCAAAGCATCTTTGGAAGTATGACTACAAGTCCTAAATCATGTTGAAAATGGAGCTTATGTGTGTGCACATTTCAGCCAAAGCATTTAGGTGCTTTGAAAAATTTAATTCTCCACTATCTCTCTATCCACTGGGAAAGGATCTAATACGTGTAGCTTTTGCATTTTCCACTTGGGGACCTTTAAGCAGTTAAGATACATATGCATTCAGGATTCTATGCACTGTGCGTATGCCAGATATTACATCCTGTCACAGTATCAGAAGAAGCAGGTGCCTTCTGCTGTTGAAGACAGGTGTATATGTATACCCTTTTTCTTTAAAAAGTGGTTTGGGCTTCATTTGTTTCCTATAAGGAATTATTTGCTCAATCATTCTTTCAGTACATATGTTTGGAGTTACAGTAAGTTTTCAAATCCAGCTGTGAGCACAAGTTTGAAATAGACGTAGATGTAACAAAAGGAGAGCGATGGATCTCCTTTTGAGTGTCTGGGGTTTTTCTTGTTTTTTTGTTTTTTTTTTTCCCCTTGATGGCTAAACAGCCACACAGATGGTTGCTTTGCTGTGAGATTTCAGGGGACATAAACTGCACCCCAGAAGCTAATGTTGCTGCCTCGTACAGCTTCGTGAGAGTGTTCTTGTCAACTGGTTAAAGGTCTTTGAGGCTTTGCAGTTGAAGAGCCCATCAGTGTCCTTCCCTGTCTTTAAATTAGCTCTTTAGAATATAAATAATAATTTGGAAATAAATGAATCATTTAGAGACCGGTAGAGCTAGATACTGTAACAGGCTTAAAAAGCTAAAGCGGGACTCTCATGGAAGTTACCTGCCCATGTCTAGCATGATACTCAAAACCCATTCAGTTATTGTGTAGTCTTGGAACTTCCACAGACATTTTTAAAATGCAGACCAGAAAGGAAGCGCAGTATCTCCTTCTCAGGCAGTAACATCAACTGAAGTTTAAACACTTACCTGGAATGTGGGAGATCCAAGACCAGTGATTGTGACTGAACGGAATTCAGCCTCTCCCAATGTAACTCTGTGACCAGCAACCTTTGCGCTGTGCTGAGTATGGTGAACAATTGAGGAATGAAGCAGGAGACAGGGCATGACAGGGGAAGTAGTGTGCACTGGCTTGTTAAAGTTGCTACTGTAAAGAAAAGAATATAATAGCCATTGATTGGAGAGAAAGCCCCAGGGGAATTGTAACTGCCTGGAGATTCAGTCTGGGCTCTCTGAACTGTTTCTCCATTTTACTCAGCCACTGTCTGACATCTGACTCTCCCCTTGTGCTATACAGCGTTCTTATGGCTAGACACAGCTACTTTAATGCCACCCCAGGATCAGGCACCTAAGAAGTACAGCAACGTTTGTTGATGGGATGGGCATTTGAATTTGTATATTAAGAGCACTGATTCTGTTTCGGTACTGCTGTCCTAAAACCTGCAGGAAAAGATAATAGCAGAGTGCCATAAACAGTTCCAGTGTAATGAGGTGGCAGAATACAAATCATTCTCAAAAGAAGTAAAAAAGTTTTACTCAGAAGATGAAAGCTCTTAATTATTCATTGCATTTTTTTCTACATCATCGCTTCTCAGTTTGTCTACTGTTTTCAGCAAGTGGTCTGTGCAAAACGAGTGCCTATGACGCTTAAACAAACAGATGATTTTACAGATTATAATCTACCTTTTTGTTGGCCTTTGTGACTATAAATTTACAACAGTAGACCTAAAATCAGCATCCTGGTTTGCACTCTTCCCTGGGGCAAGGAAACTGCATGGGAGTGTTCTCAGCTAAACTGAACCGTACCTCTCTGGGGTACTGGCTGCTAGAGGAAGAAGGCACAAGACAGAAACACCAGCTTTGTTTTTTCTGTATGAGAAACAGAGGTATTGAAAAATCCGATAAAGATCGAGTTAATCTTAGCAGAAGCCTCTTTTCAAACCCAAGCATATGTTTTAGTTCTGTAGTCTTGCAGTTATACTCCAATAACTGGATTGCCCACTTTACAGCTGCCATCAAAGCCTTCTTAAAAGAATCTGAAGAAACCACGAGAAGTACCACAAGAGAAAATGATTTTGGTATGCATCAGGGGCTGAGAGAATCTGTCTCTTCCACCCTGATAGAGAAATTCTTAGTTACCTTAATTAGGACAAATTTATATGCAAAATCTATTAACTAACTATGACTGAGGCGTGATTATTCTCTCTCATCATGTCTCCATGGATATAATTCCATTGATTTCTCTAAACTGTTCCTAAATAGTGGGAGTGAAGATCAGTATTTAATTCTGATGAGTACTGCACCGATAGTTCATATAAATGGCTGTTTAATGCGGTAGGGATGGGGAAAGGCTACTTCATCAGTTCTGGCACTTAAATGACGATGGAAGATGCCATCTTAAGATAAGAAGTTGCACTATTTTAGTAAATTCATCTACTGGCCATGCTTCCTAGCGCAACCATCCATTTTTTCACTTCTCCTATTACAGACGATTTAGTTTGTCAGGGTTTAATGCCCTCTGGTGGCAACAGTGAGAGTAGGTCATGCTGACACCTCTTGCTTTGTATTTTTAACCTGGATCTGTTGATTATCCCAAAGTGATAAATGGATAAAATAAAGTGGCATTATGTTGGGTTTTTAAACACAGAGGATTGTGGAGTGAGTAAGTGAGGCTGGTGTGTGAAAGCCAGAGCATTCCAACGATACTGGGAGGTAAATAGCTCTAACAGAAATATAAAAAACTTCAGTGCATCTATTAATCAGCTTAGACAGTAGAGCAGAACCGAACTTAAAAGGGACACTGTAAAGCTATAGAGAACAAAGACAGTGCAGCTACATATGAGATAAATTGTAGCCTCCCACAAAACTTTGTATGCACTTTTTTAATGACTCATACATCTCTTGTATGTGAACATTTGTAACTGCCCTGGTAACATATAATATTGCAAAGACTATTAAAACGATATAAAGAGATTAGTAGCTTTGGCAAGAAAATCTAGAAAAGTAACAAACATCAATATGCGTACTACGAAGACAAGATGTTCAAGCACAATTTATTTAGCTGACAGGCTGGTGAGATTAATAAAAATAATAATAGAAGTGATTATCTAATCCTTTGCACACTGTTGAGTGTGTTCTCTGCTGTTTATAAAATTCTCAGTGAAGAATAAAAGTAGTTATAATAAGAGCTTTAAGAAGCATTTCACATTCATTATTATAAATTATCATCGATTCTACACATTTAGTAGCATCACACCCATTTTTCAAAGCTTCCATTCAGTGCAGTGCACATGCACAGCACCCCCAGAAAAAGCTGATACAAAAGAAGCATCTTTGGATGTTGGCTTCTCTGACATCAAACCATCAACACACATCATCCCTTTTCAGCCCGTCTCCTTGGGTAGGCTCTGCTAGTTAGTTCCAATGCCTTGGCTGAGGATTTCCAGCCTTCACAAAATCATCCAGCTTCCTACTGTCCCCTTCTTTGCCAGCAATCTCAGTTTCCTCCTCTCCTGCAAAAGCAGATAGAGGTAGCTGCAAAGGCATACTATCTTACCTAGCGGTCTAGGGGTAGAGCTGGAGGCAGCACTTCTAAGCAGAAATGGGTAAAGAGAAAGGGGCCAGGAAAGAAGAAAACACACAGCTTCCCATTGAGACAGAAGAGGCAAGAGAGAAGGAGAAAAAATGAGGAACTAGCGTTTATAGGAGCAAGCTAGATGAGGGTGTGCAGGGCTGTCTGCCTTAGGGAAGATGCCTGTTTGATGTTTATAGACAGGAAGGAAAGTGGCTCCAGGGTGTTTATGCAACAACCAACCATACCTACCCAAGCGCACACAGGTTTTCCTGGATTCCTAGAGCTGAGGACTGGCTGATACTATCTCACAAACCAACTGCGTGTTTGAAGGAGCTGTTGGCTGGAGATGTTAATTTCTGTGCTGGTTTGTACCCTGATAGATGTACACTAGTATATGCTGGAAGGGAGCCTTTCTCAGAAAAGGTAAATTAGATAGTGGATGACACCAGCATTGATCCAGTGCTAATGGATACTGCCTTATTTTTAATTCTAATAAAACTGGAAAGTGAGCTGGTAGTTCTTGGTTGTAGGAGCCTTTCATTTCCCTTTTGGACCCATTTTCATAGCTGTTCCATGGGACTGTGTGAGATATAGTGATGGTATGGCAAAATGTTTCCAGACTTTCCCCAGTGTTTACCATTCCCATTTTCCAGCCCCAGTTGATCCCCAGTTCCTATCTAAATAATGAACTTACCTTCCCCTGCCCAGGAAGATTGTGTAAAGTTGTCAAGGTTGCCCCAGCTGCCCTGTCCATCCCCATCACAGTTCATGCTGAGCAGATAGATCAGTTGTGTGAGCTCTTTGAACATGGTAAGCATCCAGGAGCAGCAGGACTCGTGAAACACATGAGCACCCTCAGCCACATCAAACATAATTGTGAGGATCAGGCAAAAAGTAAACTGACAAATTTAAGCAGAAAAGATGTATCCAAAAAAAATACTGTATAAATAAGATAGAAGAATACATAGTATGATGAAATCCATATAAACTAATGAAATATATACACATTCTAAACAGGAAAAAATCAGAGCCTGTGAGGGAAAGAAGTGAGAAAAAGTTAGAAACAATACATTTGAAAAATATCTAATCAAAACTTTCCTTGCCTGGAAAGTATATATAAAATTTCAGTAGAATAGAGGAAAGCCCTTGGACTGCCAGGTGCTGCTTTGTTTCATCTGACTTGCCAACAATATAAATTCTTTTTCATGCCATTTACCTTTAGTTCCAAGTAGGAAAACTAAAGTGTAACACAAATAGGCCAGGGCATAACTCTGTAATTTTTGTACAGCAAATCTGGTGTTTGAACACTTTTTCTGTGGCTACCTCTAAGAATGCTACTTTTACTTTCTCGTCAAACTGTTAAATTCATAACAGGAGCTATGCCATCTTTAACAAAAAATCAAATCTGTTTTCTTGAGATCGTTGCTCTTGTCTATAACGTAGATCTTCTTAGAAATTGTACATTACATTGTTTATCAGAAGACAAAATAGTTGTGCCTTCTATCTGTAGTCTCTTGGATAACCATCTGAGCATCTAATATATGAGGAAGTCTCTTCTGCCATTTCTTATTTTCCTCACTTGAAAACTTTACTGTTTCCTATGCTAGCTCAAACTTAAAAAGAGGCAAGAAGATACTGTGGTAGTTACTTCTCTGGTAATTACTAACCAGATCACTTATAAAATCCACCAAACTTACAGTCTTAATTGTGAACATTTTTCTTGATTTTTAAATTCATTACTTTTCTTATTAACAAATGTACAACATGTAGTTTTGGATGATTCCCTTTAAGTTAGATCTTCAAGTAAGATGGCTGATAATAGCGTATCTGTCAAATGCATGAAAATTTTGGACTTTTCCTTATCACTCTCACCATCCTAGATGTATTGTTTTCCCAATTATTATTCAGTGTCCCTGCCTCAAAAGCTCTGAATGATACTTTCATAATTTGATAGTACTCACTAGCTTTACCTGAGTCAATGGGAAACCACAGGCCAAAAAGGTCACTGTTTTTAATCTGAGCAAGTCATCAAACATAAAAGATGGAAATAAAGCCATTCATTGATAGCCCTCTGTATTTTAGAGTCACGGAGAGAAAGATAGATTGCTTAATGTGTGTTATCTGGTACATAAATTTTGTCACTGCAAATATATATTAGTAGACTCATTTTTTAAAGATTTTGAGAACTTTTTTTCAAGCCAGACCTTTACGTCTGGAATTACCTTTCCATTTCACAGATCAAACTTGATCCTGGATTTTCTCACGCTTTTCCAGCACAATCATACTTAGCTTCTCAGAGGTACGGTCCATGCTTCACAGTTTTAAATGGTATATGAATCAAGAACTAGGCTGTATAAAATCCATGGCAATTTTTGGCCTGCTTTTCAAAGCCAGTCAATTACATAAAGACTCAATGATCGTAATACTTTCTTTCATGCCCTTCCTCGAGTTACTGAAGGAAGCTGCACCATCAGCATATGCCAGTGAGGTGATCTTTCTTTGAGTTGCCTCATACCCTGCCCCCTCAGTTCTAAATTGCACATTAGAAGAGTGAATTTGATTTTAAATAGAAGGGGCAGCATTGGCTTTCCCTGATCCATTCCTACATTAATTAAGCCAAATGATGTTACTTCCTTCTTCAGTTCAGAGCATGTGTGCATGTTTCGATGGACGTCTTCAATGATTTTGTTAATATGAATTTCGGGGTCCTTTACTCTTTAATTTCCAAGTGATCTTTGGAAGTAAAATTAAATCCGTGTGCAGTATCTGTAAATAAAACAATTCTTACTCCATTTTTGCCCAGTGTTGTGATAAAACTTGTCTGTCTCAAGTTAACAGAGGCAGCTTTAGTTAATCTCTCTGTTAAAATTCTGGAGAAAAAGTTTTATAAAAATTGGCCTTTTAGTAATAGGTCTGTGTTTTCTGATGTGATTTAATTTTTCTAGGTCTGAAATCTTAAGAATTAAAATAGAATGTCAATTTTTAAAACACTCAGTAATCACTGCTCTTATCAATCATTAGCCAGTGAGGCACCTTCTGTATCAGCTAACTTTGGCTTGGCCTGCAGCAGCACTTTTCTTCATTTCCTTTGTATTTTTAATCACCTCTTTCAATGTATAAAGCTCCATGCTTCCATTTCAGTTTGTAAAATTGATAACCGCCTCGTACTCTTCCTGTTATGCTCAAATTAAAACTGAAACAGGTAGAGCATTTCTCTTTTCCTTGCCCTTATGAGCATCTGCACTATTTTTTTTTAGTATTTCTGACTGTCTGCTTATGGTTTAGTATTTCCGTAGCAGATCCCTTAAGAAATGCTAATGTTCTAAGAGTCCATCGTTGTTTTTCTATCTGCATGCCACAGGATTCATGCTGAAAATCTCTTCTTCTGTTATCATGTTGTCCTCTAGATATCTAATCATCCTTGTTCTGGATACATTTTCAGGATTATGCTTTATCACTAAATTGGTGGTCATACTCTCTAATTCAGCATGATTACATATATTGTCAGGGTCAATATGAGTTACAACACTTCCTTTAATCAGTCTTACTTGCTGTCTTTAATGCTAAGCTGGTGATGTTTCTGATAGTGGAGAATTTATTTGCCATGGTAGTTCTTATCAAATTCTTATAACAAAGCTTCCTCGAAGACTGGCAACTTCTGTACAATTCTTTCCTGAAATTTACTGCAGTCTCCAATACAGTCAGTGTTCCATAACTGACTGGGCATGAGCCCTTCTTTTGGATTATGAGAGGCTGAAAAACCTGTTTCACATCTCTCTCATAAGCATTCACTAATTTTTTCTTGTTGGTGTCATTCATTGCTGTTGGAGCTGAGACAAACAGTGCTGTGATTCTTTCTATTGCTTTTCTCTCATAAGAAACACTAAGACACAGTTAGGTGCCCCACCATGATTATGTGGTGCTTTGAATATAACCACCATGACTCCGTACTATATGAGAAACTAGATGTGAAACTTTTCCTGGGTGGATCCCAAACGCTGCTCATTTCACTGCCGAGTTTCATTCACATCAAAAATGGCCCCGTACAGTGATGGGGTAAGCATTTCCACCAACAGTGTGCAAAAAGAGTTCTCCTTGTCACTGGTTAGTTACTCATTATTTTTGGTAGAAACAGCCCAGTGATAATCTGTCACTGGATTCAAACTGAAGTTTGAATAATACAGTTACTAGCATCAGGAACATTGCTCCATGTTTTTACACTGTACAACTCAGAAGTTGTTTAGCTAGCAGTTAATGGTATGTCAGGAAGTAGGGTCCTGTGGGAGTTGTATGAAAAATATGATAGAGACTTTCCTTAGTTCTGTCACACCTATACTAAGGGATACCAACTGAACTTGGCTTTGAGCAATGTATTACTAATATTTTCCAGTGGTAGGTTTCATTTTGAGATACTGCCAATTTGCC